ACACACACACACACACACACACACACACACACACACACACTCTCTCTTCCCAGCAGCTCAGAACTATCTGTGGCTGCTGTAGAGAGGTAGACCTGTGAATGTTAAGTGTCTCCCTTTAGGGGAGAAGAGAAGGCCGGCTGATAAGTTAGTCAGCAGCAAATCCAACAAGTCCTCATGAAGGCAGAGCGGAGCGAGGTGACACGACACACACCACATCTCTGCTCTCACACCTCCACACACACACTATATAAAAAAACATTGCACTTGCAGAAGCACCAAGAAACATACAGACACACAATGACAAAAAAAGACTTGCACACACACATTAGCTCAGGACAATAAACAAACAACAACACGCACACAAACATAGTGAAACTCACTGCGCCACACACACACACACACACACACACACGTGAAGTGAAAACTGAAATCCTCCCATTTGACTGGAGCTGTGGACACGCTGCAGCTCTATAAATATAAATAAATAAAACGTGTGAAGACAGAAGAAATCAACCTGAACGCAGGCAGAGTGGCTCCATCTGCACCCCCCCCTCCTTCTCCTCCCAACCTCTCCCCCACCACCACCTCCTCTCTTGCTAATTACAATTGATTTATTATGGACCAGGTAGCTTATCAGGTGCCTGGTGAAATTACAATGGGTGTCCGAAGGCTGTGAGGAGAAAGAGGGGGGTGTGGGGGTGGTGGTGTGGGGGAGGGAGGGTGGTCAATGTCGAATGACAAAATCAATTAGCATTGATTGGCAAAAGGTTCATTTTGCCAAAGAGGACGCAGTCGAAGGGGATTAAACTTCCCTGGCCCCCTGACAACTTTGATACGACACAATGACTGCTTCTCTGGCTGCGGTATAGTTAACAAGCTTTCAATAAAATACCCCCCGCTTTCTCTCTTTTTTAATTCTCAATGTGGCTGGATTTCAAATCAGGCATCTGCTCGTCGGGGTCTAGCTAGGAAACAGATAGCATTGATCAAGTATCAGGGAACGAAAATCCCCTCGCAAGCTCGCATCTTAATCCTCATCAAGAAGCCGACGCAAGAATTCAAATCATCCGGCTTCAGGCTCCGGATGAAGGCCGGGCCATTGGAGAACAGATGGAGGGAGAAGGATCACCTGACGGTAGCGTTACCGTCTCGTTAATGAACCAGGAAATGGAAAAATAAACCATTTTGTCATGTTCTGAAAAGTGACAGGTTGTTTATTTTGCGTCACAGTCGATTATTTTAAATCAGTAGCGATTCTTTGTTAATTTAAGTGAATTATTTGGTTGTAAAAATGCATCTTAGGACACAAATATAAGAGTTTGAACACTGTAAGCAACATTTTTTTTGACACTTCCTCAACTGCCCAACACCTCCAGAGTGATCGTGTGTGTGTGTGTGTGTGTGTGTGTGTGTGTGTGTGTGCGCGCGTCTTACCCTCGATGGCCAGCATGGCTCTCAGCTCTCTGTTCAGTAGTTCGAAGCGTCTCTCCAGATCGTGCTCTTTCTCCCTGTGGCAAGTTAGAGAGAGAGAGAGAGAGAGAGAGAGAGAAAGTGTGAGTAAAAAACACACACACAACAACGTTCATCAATATGTTAATGACTAAATCATTAAGCACTTAAAGAAACCTGCAATAAACATTGATTCGGCTACTCGCCCGAACCTTCTCCGGCTTCGCATTAATCTACTGCACATAACTGATACACACACAGCCCTGGGTGAGTGTGTGTGTGTGTGTGTGTGTGTGTGTGAAGAAAGAATATAAAGACAGAAGAAAAGGTGGTGAAAAAGCATCAGAAACAGAGAGAGGTGGAGGATAAAAGAGCAGGAAAATTAACAATGAAATAAATGTGCATCTAAAGTGTGTGTGTGTGTGTGTGTGTATGATGATATGTGGCGCGCGCGTGTGTGTGTGTGTGTGTGGCACAAATTAAATTCTTTCCTCTTTCAGCCATATTAAAAAATGAGCTTATTCGGCTCCCTAATAGAATTTGTCCTTCACAGGCTTCTTTTCTCTTCGCCTCCACAAAGAGAGAACAGAAAGGCTAATAATCAGCCCTTCTGTCAATTGGCCACTTTAAAAGCCTCCCCTTTCCCACGATATAATGTGATTATGAATACTTCAATCTCTCTCTCCTCCATTTGCACTCTTTGAAATCCCAACAGCCGCAAATGAAGGAGAAAAAAAGGCAGCGTGTGTGTGTGTGTGTGTGTGTGCGTGTGTGTGTCCACCTGTCGCAGCTGACCACATACAAAGAGACTAGCGATAGAGTGATGATCACCACATTTCTATTGATTTCATATCCCGTCCACATGTAAATCAATGAGCGCATAGATAGAGGGGGTGAATGGAGTGGAGAGAACACTCCCAACCCAGAGTAGCTTCAACACGTTTGATCCAACACGTCTGTGACGTTTCCAGGTTTCTACTGCATATATACATACATATACATATATGTATGTATATTTGTATATAGAGAGATACGTACAGCAGAGAGAGCTGGTTCTGTCGTCTGATGAGGGCGTTCTTCTTGTTGACCAACATGAACCACTCCTGCATCATGGCCTCCTCCTCCTCCTTGTTGTTGCCTGGAAACACACACAGAAAAACAAGCTCTTTGTTAGCAAAGCAACATGTACTAAAAAGCATTACAACACATTGCACATATTACACAACCAGAGAAGAAAAAGCAACATAATGCACGACCCAAACGGCCTCAGGCAACCTTATTTAAATGTCTTTTTGCAGAGTCAGCATGTCCACCAGATATTCATGTGTGTAAATACACTGCTCGCTCGTGTTCCTATAGTGCAAACATCCACATACTTCACGCCGTGTCTTCACAACGTCAATACGGCTTCAACCGGGTCGGGATTAACTCGGCGATTACCGTGGAGCGCCTCCACAGAGCGGAGCCTCTCTCTGTAGGGCGGCACACATCCCACCGATCACTCAGTTCGGTCACCTTCTCCAGTGTAGAGCTAACGAGGCTCAGACGCACGGCTAATGTAAGCGTGAGCTGTGACTCACCGGTTACGGCGGGATGCAAACAGCCTGATACGGACGAAGCGCATTGAATGGAAACCTTCAAACGTCAGCTGTGAGAGCGGCCTCACGTCTGACCCCGGAGGAACGAGCCGTCTCTGAAACCAGACAATCGAGGCGATCTCAAGAGAGATTCAGGGATCTGAAGACCAGCTATCAAGGAGTTCTTTTACAGTTTGCATTTTCTAGCATGAGACGACATTTACATCTCAGTTATTCCAGTTCTATGGTGCTGTTAAATGCTTTTGTTTTGGTAAAACAGGCCTCGATTTTCAAACACAAAGACGCTCGTTTGGCATCATTAAGACAAAATCTTTGATTACATCTATGAATTTACATCTAATGTATATAGTTAAGATGACAGAATCATCTCCTACAACTAAGCAGAGAATATAAAACAGACATATGTGAGTCTTTCCAGATTAATACAAATTACAGGATGGAGAGCAGAGTAAATAGCTGCTATAAGATGTAGACATACGTCAGTGTTTTTGGGTTCAGTGTGTGTGTGCTGAAGCGATCGTTTTGTTTGTCTTTCTGTCTCTCCGTCGTCGGGTAAATAATCTCTACTGTGGTCAGCTTGGCTCAGCGCGGTTTGTGTCTAGAATTGTGGATGCGAGCTTCTCCTCCTCACTGGAGGCTGTTTAACCAGCGACGGCGAGCGTTAATCTGACACTCAGTGCGTCTGTGAAGAGAAGAAACGGATGAAAACAGAGGAGGCGAGATGAAAGATCGTCTCAAGGCTTATGTTATTATCTCTTTTTTTCTTTCTTTCTCCGTTTCTCAAGAGGAGGGTTTAATAGCTGGGAAGCGACACGACAGGCATCATAACAGAATTAACACGAAGAAGACATTTCACACCACTTCTTTATTAATTGGGGATCCTCTGAATAATAAGAAGGGCATTGGTGCGCTGTATAATGGAGGAAACACATGTATGCCAAGCTTTAACGCTTTATATCTTTCATTCCTGATTATTTTCTTTATTTTATCGTCTCTAAAATGTAACTTTTGCTCTCCTCCTTTCTGATAGATTCAAATGACTAAACATGCAAGACTATGAACTTAAAAACAATAGAAAATTATCACAAGCTGTGCGTAAATTCAGCCGCACACGCACACACAGTATTGGGCCGCTGCTTCACTGGCGACAAAAGGCAGGCGCGCGGATGTGTGCGTGGACACCGGTGAGTGTGTGGACATTTGTGATACTCTGAGCCAGCAGATGTATGTAATTTCATTTAGGAGGGTGGAGCGGGGGGGGGAGAGAGGGGAAAAAAGAACGAGCGAATGAAAGGAAGCTTCAGGATTTAGCGGAATCGGGGGCTCGTGGATTACTGTAGTCAACTTTGAAACGGACGACACTCGGAGGGGGGATAAAGCCGGCGCTGACAGGTCATTGTGCTGCCTCCAAGTCAAATAAAACAAGCAAATAATAATGGCAAATATTAAGCTCCTGTGACATTGTGGCGAGGCGGGCTGGAAGACGAGGGGGGATTATAAAGCTATATCCCCCCACCGCTAGCCAGCCAGCAGCTACCGACCAACCAACGGACGCATATTATGAAAGGAGGGAGGGGAGGCGAAGGGAGGGAGACAGAGAGAGAGAGGAAAGGAGGAGAGGTCAGAGGAAAGGTAGGGTAGGAGGGAAGAAAAGGAGAGATGAGGGAAAAGGGGATGAATGGTGAATGAGGTGGCGACTGGAGGAGCAGCTGAGCGGCTTCAAAGCCAAGGAAAGAAAAGGAGGGGACGGAGGGATGTAGGGAGGACGAGTGGGGCAGGACGCTTCGACAGCTGCTCAGCATCCTCCTTCCTTCACTCAACCTCTCTCAGAGTCCACCTCTCACCTCCAGAGACCACCTGACTCTTAAAGAGACAGGTGCGCCTGCAGCTCCTCTACTGTCTAACATTTATGTCTGGGAGCTAAAACTCTTTAATACGCATTCAAATTAAATATCAGACACATTTTTAATTAGATAATGGAGAAGTTTATGATTAATTTGGGGGAGTGGCATTAGTCCCTGTTGTATTTAATAATGACAGAGACTTAAATGTTTACTTTAACAACAAAAAACATTTATATTCAAATTACAAGCATGAAATCTTCACGTTTTAGCAGCTGGAACCAGTTTAAAACGATTAGTCGATCATCACAGTTGTTTTCTGTCTTAATTCATCAATCAATCCACTAATTGAGCACCAATCCACTGCATTATGTTACTGCAAGTGACCAGGAAACTACAGCAACACAGCAAAAAACCTGCTGTTTCAGTTTTATATATGCAGAAGATTAAGAGGAGCTGCACTCATGAATGAATGCTCTACTGCAGGGTTGAGGGTTCGACTCCCACTGGAACAACCCTTTTTTATTGAATTGTACCCACTCGTACTGGAATGAGCGCGCCCAACGAATGGCATATGTTAAGAGTGACAACAACAGAGACGTTGTTTTGTGTGAAGACAAATGGTGTAAATGTCCCTGGCAAGCAGCACTGACACTGTGTCTGTGAATCCAGCCTTGGCTTCCGAGAAGCTGCGGATCCATGCTGGCTCTCGGGGGGCCATCTTGGATCAAAGCATCTGGCGACTTGGCAGGGTTGCATTCTGGGTCTCGCTGCTTGCCTCGCACGCCATTTCTCAGCGCTGTAAACAGCACGGAGCAGGGCACAGCTCTAGAAACAGGAACCTGAAATCTACCGAGACCGGAGCAAGAAGTTTGGCGTCGGCACAGCGTTTGATCAGGACATCAAAGGATTAGTGAAACATGTCTGATGGAGATACGCAGGGGTCTCCCTTCCTACAGGAAAACTTTATCGTCATTAATATCATGTTTGGTGTCGCCGCAGCTATCGATGGTGAGGAACACACGAGATACAATCAACTCAACGAGATACGACCGATACACACATCCCCACCACCCCTCTATCTGATCGTCTGTTGTTTCACTCTCACAAACACAACGGCGGAGATACGACGACATGAGCGTGTGGAGGAAGACGGTTATCCTGAAGAATATGTGTTAGGGAGGGTCAACGTGTGTTTGAATGCATCCATACGAGAGTTAGAAATAAAAGAATCGAGGGAAGGAAAGACAGCGTGGGCCTCTATAGCCAAATAAGATTAAGATAGCTATCTTGGCCGCTGTTGCATTCAGGGTAGATATGAATAATGGAACCCACCCTGAGGTGGTCGTACTGCTGCTGCGGTTTCTGGTTTTTAATTAAGTGTGTTATGCTACTATGCTAGGTCTCCCTAAATGCCTGCAACGAGTAGTTTTAGTGAGTAAATACTCACTAGTATGTGGACTACTTTCATCGTGGCCCAAAGCAGCAATGAGACGGTTTTATTTGTTTTAATGTATTTGGCCTCCGTTTGATGCAAACGCTCCAACTTTGAAGGTTTGATTGTCTCTTTATTGAGGGCACTTTTGGTGACTAAAGTCGCCACCAAAAGGTGCACTTTAAGCTGCAATTAATCATTATTTTCACTATGAAATTTGCTGTCAAATTAATATTTTCATCTATGAAATGTCAGGAAATGGTGAAAAATGCCTCTCAAATTTTCCCAGAGGCCAACATGGCGTCTTCAAATTGCTTCTTTTTTTCATGTCCGAGCAACAATCCAAAACCCAAATGTATTCAATTAATATCAATCAGAGAAAAGAAGGAAACATTTCAGAAGCTTAAAATAGCAAATGATTGGCATTTCTGCTTTAAAAAAAATCACTTAAATGATTAAGTGATTATAGAATATCAATAAAATGACTAATTGCTTCAGTGCAATTAGTCAATTTGAGGAAACATTAGTCAATGAGTCAATTCTGGGGCAACACAGGGCTCAATACTTTGACCTTCCAGTTACGGAGCAGACAATCAGGCCAAGCACAAACTCCAGGTATCCGTTTAGAACGTTATGAAATACGATAACTGGATGAAAGAGAAACTTCTTCTCTCTCTCGGTGCCTTGAAGGAAAGAGTTTAGATGAGGAGAAAGGAAACGAGACAGAAAACATTAAAAAGCTGTGATCACAGCACGTTCATCTCATTTCTTATCCCACCATTTAATCCAATAGCTGCTAATCCAATTTGTCTATCGGACATGTAAAAAGGAGGGGGAGGAGGAGAAAGACGAAGAGGAGGAGGGGAAAGGGAGGACGTAGAGCTGAACTTTCTGAATCGCTGTTTATTTAAAGGACTTGTGTGTCTCTCCCACCGTCCGACCGCCGAGCTCGTCTCGTATCAGCGGGGAATCGGCGGAGATGAAAGCCGAAGACGCATGAAAGGAAACGTGGAAAAAGGAATAAAAAAGAAACAGGATGAACATTGTTTTCCGTGATTAGGGTAAGAGCTCGTTAAAAGGCCGTCACTGCGGCGCTGTGAATATGCATGACAGGGGCCGGCCTTAATCAGAGGGGTCCGGGGGGGGGGGGGGGGGGGGGTGCATGTGGGGGAGGGGGTGGGGGGGGGGGGGGGGGGGGGGGGGTAGTCTGATTTAATCAATGTGAGGAGAGGAGTGTCTTGTTAGGAGCTTTGGCCATAGAGCAGAAAACATGCAGCAGAAAAACTGATTCTACGTTAAATAATCAGATTCAACAGCTTCACGTTTTATAAAAGCAACAGTTTCTAACTCGGCAACATGACAACACTTGTGTGTAAGACTCGACCCCCCCGCTCTACATTTCACGTGTGATTCCTCCTCCCTTGTGCTCTTCTGTTCTGCTCTCTACTGGAGTGCTGCTGAGGGGTATTTCTTCTTTCTCTTTTTTCTGGGGGGAAGGCTTGTTCGAGGCCTTTTTAGCCGCTCTTCAATGGCACAATGGTTTTCAGCGTATAGAGCAGATTCCTGCTTTATTGAACCTGTGTATAATGTCTGGTGAATGGAACACATTAACCGATTCACACTCACCTCTTTGCCCCTCCCCCTCCCCCCCTCCACGAATAGAAAAAGGAGAAAAGTGAAATAAGAAAGAGAAAAAGGAGAAACCTTCTCTCACACTGAGGCACAATGACTGCCTTTTCCACCGGTGTCATTTGTCAACCACTGCTTGCTTTACAGCCGACAAAAGACGAGGAGGCAGGAGTGTGTGTGTGTGTGTGTG